AATGATACCCCTTGTGCCACATCCTTGTCTGAATCTGACTTGAACCTCTGACAATTCCCTGTCTATGTACTGTTGTTACCATTTTATGATTACCTTTAGAAAAATTTTGTTTGCTATGTTAATGATATTTTGCAATGATTTCCACATTCCATTAGGTCACCTCTTTTTGGAATGGGCACAAATACGTATCTCTTTCAATCAGTTGGCCAAATATCTGTCTTCCAAATTTCTTGGCATAGGTGAGCCTCCAGTGCTGCCTCAGTTTGTTGAAAGGTTTCAGTTTCGATTCCATCAATTCCCAGAGCCTTATTCTTTGTACAGTAAACCTTTGACTTCTTTTTTCAGTACCATCACCTTTTTTTTTTTTTTAATGCTTTATTATGAATTATATGACGGTTTACATGGGAGGGAATTAGCTTCATTTGCTCCCGTTGTATATTGTTTCCTTGCAATCCCCTCCATGCATCATCCATTAACCAAAGGGTATACCCCGCAAGCCTTCCCCCCGGTCATCCACATACAGCCTCTCTCCCTCTCCGGGTCCAAAGTCCCCAGCCGCTCCATCTCCCCACATCATCGTCTCTGCCTCCATCCCTGGCATCAATGCTTCTCTGGGTAGGGTTCCATTCTCTGCTCTTCTCCCTTCATGGTCCCAGGGATCTCCGCTCCTAGACTGCAAAGTTAGTCACTCCCCTCCCTTTGCCACTAAACGTCTACCTTTACATTTCCAGCCGTTACAATCAGTCCTGATAACAATTATTCACTATTGTATCGCAAGAGACTTATCTGCATCTCCTTTCATCAACCCCGACTAGACAGAATGGATATTACTCAGTGGAGAGTCTACCTTGCTCCATGCATTCTGGATCTAGGTTACCTCTTGAAAGTTTGTAAGCGAGTCACTTCTTGCCTCTGTAACCCCCCATTGTGGGTAGCCAATATCCAAGTCGCCCATCCCTGTCCTCTCCATGTGCAGAGGGGGTGGGAATGATCTTCGCTGTGAAGATTTGTTCCGTCTTTTGAGCTACTACTTCTATAGGTGTATGTCAGATTCATCAAATTGTATCAGATTACTCTTTATCCCTTCTTCCTTCGCTTCCAACTCATAGTGAAACTGTTCAGGGTTTCCGAGGCTGTCAATCTTCATGGGAGCAGAAAGCCTCATCTTTCTCCGGCAGAACATCTGGTAGTTTTGAACTGCTGACCGTGAGATTAGCAGCCCGATTTGTAACCACTATTGCTACGAGAGCTCCTAGAATCCTTCAATATTGCAAGTTGAGGCTTGAAATTTTTCTTCAGTTCTTTCAGCTTGAGAAATGCTGACGGGGTTCTTCCCTTTTGGTTTTCTAACTCCAGGTCTTTGCATATTTCATTATAATACTTGACATTGTCTTTTCAAGCTGCCCTTTGAAATGTTCTGTTCAGCTATATTGTCTCTTCCTTTCTTCCATTTGCTTTACCTTCCCTATGCTTTAGAGCAAGTTTCAAAGTCTCTTCTGACAGCCATTTTAATATTGTCTTTTGTTATCTTAATGATCTTTTGTTTTCTTCCTATTCTATATGCTTGATGTCGTCCCACAATTCTTCTAGTCTTTAATCATTAGTGTCTAAAGCACCAAATCTGTTCTTGAAATGCTTTCTAAATTCAGGTGGAAAATGTTTAAGGTCATATTTTGGCTCGATTGGATTTGTTTTAATTTTCTTCAACTTCAGCCTGAACTTGCATATGAGCAACTGATGGTCTGTACCACAATCTGCCACTGGCCTTGTTTTGGCTGATGATATGGAGCTTTTCTGCAGTGTTTTCCCAAAAATATAGTCAATTTGATATTTCTGTATTCTATCTGGTGAGGTTCACATGTATAGTCTTCCTTTATGTTGTTTTCAAAAGGTAGTTACAACGAAGAAGTCATTCGTCTTGTACAATTCTATCATGCGATCTCCAGCATAATTTCCATCACCAAGATAAACCTGTCATGACAGAAATGCAGCCAGAATACTTCTCATTAGGAGTGAATTAATTAAATATTTGAGCAAATTCAGCAGGCTAATTTTTTTATTATTCCCTTGACTTTTTTCTTTTTTATTGTGAACTGAGTGATCGTTTACATGGGAGAACATCGGCTTTACACCATTGATTCATTGCAATGATTATTACAATCTCCTCCATGCATCATCATCCAACAGCATTTGCTTCCATTCACTCTGGTTTTCTTTTCTTTTTTGGCAGGTAGGGTGGGGTGGGGAGATGTACACAAAAACACTCAGGAATATATGCTAATTTAAACAACCAAAGGGCACATTCTGCAAGCCTGCTTCCTGGCTGCCATCTCTCAGTCCCCCTCTTTCCATGAATCTAGAGTCCTCAGCTGCTCTATCTCTCCATGTCCTCATCTGTGTCTGGCTGCACTTCGATCACGACAGATTTGTTTGTCCTATACAGAGTTGCTATGGGTCGGAATCGACTTGACAGCACTAAACAACAACAACAATGGAGTCCTGGTGTGGTTAATGTGCCAGACTGCAAAGCCGTTTAACTGCAAGGTCAATGGTTCAAGATCACCAGCTGTTCCTCGGAAACCCTATACAGTGTTGCTATGGGTCAGAATCGACTCAACAGCACGCTGGTGTCACAGTTTCTCTGGATAAGGTCTTGCATTCTGCTTGTGCTCTTCTCCCTTGATGGTCCTAGGGTCCTCTGTTTCTGGACCGTAAGATTAACTACTTGCCCGATTTTGTTACAAAACTTCTACCTTTACAGTTGTGACAGTCACAATTAGTCATGATAACAATTACTCACTATTGAATCATAAGAACCTTATCCCCATCTCTTTCTACCAAACCTGTTTAGACAAGATGAAAACTATTCATTGGGGACTCTACCTTCCCCCCCCACACACACTCTTAAATCAAACTCCCCTTTGAAACCTTGTAAGCCAGTCACTTTGAGCCTTTATCACCCCCTCATTTTAGGTAGCCAGTGTCTAAGTTGCCCGTCCCTATCTACCGTGTGCACAGAGGGGATAGCATTGATACTTGATGTGAAGACTCCTTCCTTCTCTGTTGGTATTTTGAGCTACTACATCCATGAGCTCTGGTGGCGTAGTGGTTACGAATTGGGCTGCGAACCGCAAGGTCAGCAGTTCAAAACTACCAGCTGTTCTGTGGGAGAAAGATGAGGCTTTCTGCTCCCGTAAAGATTTACAGCCTTGGAAACCCTGTACAGGGTCGCTATGAGTGGGAATCGACTCCACGGCACATAACAACAACAACAACATCCATGAATATAGGTCAGGTTCATCAAATTATAGCGATTTACACTTGTTTCCTTTATTAAAAATTGTTTTTAATATTCCTGTAGTCAAGTTCTGATTATCAAGCCATCGAGGCTAGGTCAAATAGGTACAATCTGCAAGTTTGGATATTCTTGTGCCCCTCCCCTCACTTCATAGCAGCTGGATGCTTCACTCTCAGTTCTAGCCCTCTGTGGCTATGCCCTTGTCCCATGGGCTCAGGTGTCCCCAGGTCTCACCACACTTTGGATCAACCAGCAGGCAAATTTTTAAGTTGATAATTTTGTATGGCCTAAGAATGATGGCATACATTCTGACAAAATAAAGGTCCATCACTCATACTTCGGACGTATTGTCAGGAGGGACCAGTCTCTGACGAAGGATGTCATGTTTGATAAGGTGGAGGGTCAGAGAAAAAGAGGAAGACCCCAAGCGAGATGGATTGGCCAAGTGGCAGCATTGATGGACTCAAGCGTGGCAACAATTGTGAGGTTGGCCCAGGATTGGGCAGTGTTTCGTTCTGCTGTGCATAAGGTTGCTATGGGTTGGTACCCACTCGAAGGCACCTAACAACAACAACCCTGCTCTAGAGGATAAGCACTAGACTGCAAACTATAAGGTCAGCAGTTTGAGCCCACCCCAGAACAAAGATGAGGCTTTCTGCTCCAGCAAAGCTTTACCCCCTCACAAATCCTACACAGGGTCGCTGCAACTCCCAGGAAGTTGTTAAAAAGATACCAAAAAACCCATCCTGCCAGCTCCCCCAGTAGTAATTTCTTCTACAGATCGACCTCGAAGACATTGTGGGTTTAGTTCCAGATAGATGCAATAAAGCAAATAGCTTTTTTAAAATTTAAATCAAGTCACGTGAATTTTTTGGTTTCCTGGTGCCAATAAAAGTTATGTTTGCATTACACTGTACACTATTCAGATTACAACAGCATGATGGAAAAGCTTGAAATATGGGGGAATGTTCAAAATATGAGCCCGGAGGTGAATACGTTGGGTTTTGTTTTTTGTTTTTAATTATGCCTCTTGTAGGACCAAGGTTGCTACAAACCTTCAATATATGTAAAAACCAACAACAAAAATCCACAACATCTAAGAAGCATAGTAAAAATATGGACAGTAAAATCAGGTAGGCCTGTATTCATTTTTGAAATACAATCAAGCTCCCGTAAGTCGGCACCAGGAGCGTTCATTGGTCCAGCTCCATCCCCACTACCACAAACCCACGATAGTTCAACTAGCTCTTCTGCACAGGCGCCTCACACTCCCTCAGAGCATGCGCCAGCATCCGGCATTCTTCAACCATGGGGAGGGGGAGAGACTGAGGAAGGAGGCAGGATTACTACTTGTTCCACAGAAGAATCCTTGAGAATTGTACTGATGGAATTTCAGATTCCAGATCCTCTCTTATATGTCCTTTCTTCTCTACTTCCAGCCCAATATTAAAACTCCTACTCCCAGAAAAAAAAAAAAATTATCATACCCCCCTCTCTTCCCAAGTTGGTACATTCCGACCGCCTCAAGTTTTGGCGGGAGCAGACCTGTGTGCTTGTACGCAGGTGCAAACTTGCCAGTGCGCAGGCCCAGAGTTGCCCGCCCGTGGCGACCAAGCTCAATTGGGATACGTACGGTCTCGTTTCCGGATTAATGTGTTGGTGGCGTCCTTTGTGGCGGCCATAGTGAGCATTTCGGACCGGCATGGCTAATCATGTGTTCTGTAATCGCTGCTTCCAGGGGCCACACAATACCTCACGCTTCAGCTTGACCAACTGCGGGCACGTGTACTGTGATGTCTGCCTCTGCAAAGGTCAGGGCAGAGAAGAGTCCTGGGGACGAGACCCCAGACCCCTCGGCGCCGAAGGCCATCCTCGGGGCGGGAGGCCACACACCGTGGCTACTTCTGGGGTTCAGGGGAAATGACACCAACAGGGCACTTGGTGGGGGGACAGTGGCCGCAGAACCCCGCTTCCTGAGCTGGGGAAGCTGACGGCCGCTCAGCCTTATATCGTAGTATAAATACAGCTTTTTAACCCCAAATTTATAAGGCACGCACAACATTTAACTATCTGCTTTTATTGCGAAATTGAAATTGTATCCAAAAAGGGAACACTAAAAAATAATTCTATATTGTCATTTTTAAGATGCATAATATTTTAATGGCTGTGCCGATATTTAAGGAACCCTGGTAGCATTCTGGGTTAGGCATTGGACTGCTAACTGCAAGGTCGTCAGTTCAAATCCACCAGCTGCTCCATGGGAGAAAGACGGGGCTGTTGGTGCCTGTGAAGATTTAAAGTCTAGAAAACCTGCTGGCGATGGGTTTGCCATAATTTAACTGGTTCTGTATTTAAAAACAGTTAGGTTTCGTAATATTTAGGTAGTAAAACGTGAATTAGATAAAATATTTGTTTACTTGATTTTTTTTCCCTTGGAATATGCAAGCTTAAATTCAATAGGATTGCTGCAAAATCGTAGGAACCTTTATTAAACCAAAATATCAAAAGGGGAAGCTTTTGTTTCTCGGCGTTAAAATTGGCATATATTACCCAACTGCCCTGCGGAGAAAGTGTGTGCGCGTTTCTAGTCCCAGCATCGCGATATTGGAGCACTGTGTGTTTGTTTTCTCCCCAATTTTGCATTTCTGATTAAAAAGCCAGTTGTCACTGAGTCCGTTTCAGTTTATGGTGATGACCCAGGAGTGGTATCACGAGTGAGAGGAGGGATGGATTTGTAAGACTATAAACGTCAGTGGGCGGCCCCATCAAGCCCATGTTTTCCATGCTGATGAGTTGAACAGAGATTCACGGAGGGGATGGAAGGTGGAACAGTAGGTTTTGACATCATTGTATCTGTGGGATGGGCCCACAGATGGGAGAAGGTACTTAGCGGGACGCTGGGAAGGGGAGTGGAACAGCCTTTTCATTCTTTGTTCTGCATTGCTTTACACGGAGCTGAAGGGAATACGGACTGAATGAGTGAGAAAATGCTCAATCCAGAATGCTTAGGTACTTTGTGTGGTATCGAAGTGAGACAGAGACAGAACAAGCCTTAGTGGATAGGTTGGGTGGGGTCTTGAAGAGCTGTTCCTATTTTAAATGGCCACATTTTGCAAATTAAGGTATCAGTATAAAAAAAATATCTAGGATGATGTAAGCCTCATTGTTAAGTGCCATGGAGTAGTTCCACCTACTAGTGACCTTGTATAAAGTTTCTGAGGCTGTAAATCTTTACAGGAACAGAAAGCCTCATCCTTCTCCTACAGCAGCTTGTGGGTTTAAGCCTAAGTCTGGAGTCCTGGGGTGACGCTGTGAGCTAATGAGCCAGACTGCAAAGTTGTTTGAACTGCAAGGTCAGTAGTTCAAGTTCATCAACTGCTCCTTGGAAACCCTATACAGGGTCGCTATGGGTTGGAATCAACTCAGTGGCGCTTCACAACAACAACAATTGTTAATATGTGTCGTCACTTTTTTTTCACACATCTGCAAAGCAGAAGGAAAACCTGTTGTTACTGTCTTTTCAACTGTATTCATCCCCATGGTTTCATTCAGTGTCTGACCATGAAAATATTTGAGTGTGTATTTCTTGGATGATGTTAAGTGCCTTTGAGCCAGTTCTGACTCATAGACCCTATGTAGGGTTTCCAAGGAGCAACTGGTGAATTTGAACCACCGACCTTGCCGTTCAAACTGACCTTATAGTGTAGTGCGTTAGCCCACAGCTCCACACCAAGACTCTTGAATAAGATTATTCTAATTTGAAGTCTGCTCTTAATAAGTGTTTAAGAGCATTGGTGATACTGGTGGTGTGAGCGGTGGAGTTGGTTCCGACTCAGCAAACGTGTATGGGTGTCGGCGGCTATAAATCTTTATGGGACTGGAAAGCCTCCTCTTTCTCTCATGGAGCAGCTGATAGGTTCTAACTGCTGACCTTGTGGTTTACAACCCATTTTATAATCCAGTACACTGCTGCTCAGTGTATAATATAATAAAATGTGCTTTTGTTTTACAGGTAAAAAAGATGAATGCTTGATTTGTAAAGCTCCTTGTCGAACGGTTTCACTTTCAAAGCATGTAAGTTGGAATCTGTCTTCTACTAATCAAAATAGTATTTCCATTAACATTAAAATTTTAGTTTCAGTCATTTGTGATGTCTACAATATTCATTTTGGCAGATGAACAAGATTTTTATGACTATAAATCAAAAGTACAATGAACAGCTGGTTTTAAAAAATCTCACTATTACTGTGTTTTTTAGCCATGTTGTGTTGTTAAGTGCTGCCGAGTCGGTTCCAACACATAGAGACTCTGTATAAGGTTTTTGAGTAGTGGCTGGTAGATTTAAACCACTGACCTTATGGTTAGCAATCCAGTGTTTATAGTACAGTGCCACACCAGAACTCCTTTTTAGCCACGTTGTTGTTTTTAGGTGCTGTTGAGTTGTTTCCAACTCACAGCGACTCGATGCACAGCAGAAGGAAACACTTGCACAGCCCTGCACCAGCCTCACAATTATTGTAGTTTGAACCCATTGCTGCTGCCACTGGGTCAATCCTTGGGGGTCTTCTTCCTTTTTGCTGATGATATCCTTCTCTAAGGATGACCGTCTTGCTGTTTTGGCTTGTAAGGAGCATTCTGGCTGCACAATCTCCAATTTTCCTAGATTCATACTTCTGTACAGTCTGTGTTTGCAGCTGTTAACTCCATTCACATCATGATGGTCAATTCTGCTCTGGGTAGGCAGCTTTCCCAGTCATGTTTTGAGTGCCTTCCAACCAGAGGGACTCACCTTCCGGTATTATTATATCAGACAGTGTTCTGGTGCTCTTCATTTTTTTCCATCTTCCAGCACTATATTTGACAATGTTCTACTGCTGTTCATAAAGTTTTCAGTAGCTAATCATTCAGAAAGGAGCTCTGGTAGCGCAGTGGTTACAAGTTGGGCTGCTAACTTCAAGGTCAGCAGTTCGAAACTACCAGACATTCTGTGGGAGAAATATGAAGGTTTCTGCTCTTGTAAAGATTTATAACCTCGACAACCCTAAACAGGGTCGTTATGAGTCAGAACCGACTCCACGGCACACTCCCGCCACCAACAACCATTCGGAAGTGGTCCGCTTCTCCTTCTTCCTAGTCTGTCTTAGTCTGGAAGTTCCACTGAAACTTGCCCCCTGTGGGTGTGTACCCTGCTGGTATGTAAAACACTGGTGGTACAGCTTCCAGCATCACATCAACAGGAAGCCACCTCAGTACGACACACTGACAGACGAGTGGTACCCTTGTTAGCCATGTGTTGTGTGTGGTAAGTGCCATCCAACTCATAGCCATGCTGTATAGGGTTTCCAGGGAGCTACTGGTGGAGTTTGAACTGCTTGAATTGCTGACTTTATGGTTAGTAGTCCAGTGCTTATCCTACACACCACACCAGGACTTCCTTTACCTATAGATTGTCCTTATTCATAGTTTGTTGAGTTGTTCCATGTTCTTGAAAAAGAAAATGTGAAACAGAGTTCTTCAATATAATACAGGCACTTGAAAAACGTATCCGCTGCTGTGGAGTCGGTGCAGACTCCCAGTGACGCTCTAGGACAGTAGGACTGCCCCCAGGACTCCCGGGCTCTGGAGCTTTCTGTTGTTGCTTCCTGACGTTGGCTGTAACCCCCCCAATGTAACAATACTCCTGCTACTTCCTCTCTGGGCTTTCCTGCCCCTTTCTGCCTCCCCAGCTTTGCTTTTGGACAAATGCTGGCTTTTGGTCTGTGTGGCTGGTTGTTCTGAGGAGTACTTCCACCCTGGTGTTAGTATTTGCTTTATAGGCTTATCTGTTGTTTGATAAAAGTGGATTCCTGAGGGTGGGTTCCATTCCAGACTTGGAGAGTGTGTAAGGGCCACAGTCTCAGGTTCTACCAGACGCTATCAGACCAGTAAGTCTGATCTTTTGATGATTTTAAACTTAGTTCTATGGTTTTGGGTGGGTTTTTTTGTGTTTGTTTTTTTTTAAATGCCTCTCTGTCTAAGGCCTTCTGTTATGCTCCTGATCTGAGCAATTGGTTGGGGTGGTTGAGCACCATCTAGGTCTTCTGGTCTCAGAGTAGTAGAGGCTGTGATTCTTGTGATCCATTAGTCCTTTGAACTCATTGTTTCCTTGAGTCTTTGATTACTTAGATGAAGATCACCACAGCTTTCTCCCAAGGAACAGCTGATAGCTTTAACCACTGTGTTGTTACTAGGGTTCCTCTAAGACTGTAGTGTGGCCTGGCTTTTCCCAGGGGTCATATACCATTAGGAGCCCTAGTGGTGTGACAGTTAAGCCCTCAGCTGCTAACCACAAGATTGGCAGTTCAGACCCACCAATCACTGTGGGAGAAGACTGGCAACCTGCTCCCTAAGAAACCCTGTGTGGTACTTCCACCCTGCTCTGTGGGGTTGCTGTGAGTCTGAATCGGTTCAATGGTGCTCAACAACAACAGCAGCATATATGAGGGTAAGTCAAAAAGTGCTGAGGCTACATGCATGGGTTTATGCCAAAGAAAATGTGTTTAGACCTGCCTGTGATCAATGGATGACTACAGACAGCTTCACCCAATAGTACCCTTGTCTTATCTTCTTAGGGTGCTCTCAAAAAACAGTCCCGTTAAAACAGTGACTCATGAAGGGATCTGTTGGGCCAGTTCAATCTAAGGTGGAGAGGTCAGTTTAGAAGGTTCTGGTGACTAGTTTTTAGGATTCCAAGGGACAATCTTGTTTGTTTGTTTACGTTTGTACTGTGAATTGAGTGATAGTTTACAGGGGAGATCATCAGTTTTACACTCATCGTTTCATTGCAATGATTGCAGTCTCCTCCATCAAAGTATTTGCTTCTCTTCCCTCTGTTGTTTCTCGTTTTCATTTTTGGTGGGGCGGGCGGGGATGTACACAAAAACATTCAGGTATAGTCATCTAAGCAACCAAAGGGCACATTCTGCAAGTCAGGCCCCTTTCTTTCTCTTTCCATGATTCTAGAGTCCTCAGCTGCTCCCTCTTTCCATGTCCTCATCGCTGCTTCCATCTCTGCTGTTCTCTGGATAGGGTCCCATGTTCTGCTCATGCTCTTTTCCCTTGATGGGCCTAGGGTCCTCTGTCCCTTGAATGTAAGATTAACTATCCCTCCTTTATGTTACAAACTTCTGCCCTAACAGTTGTGACAGTCACAATTAGTCATGATAATAATTACTCAGTATCGAAACTTCCAGCGGTTCCGCGGGAGAAAGATGAGGCTATCTGCTCCCATAAAGATTTACTGCCTCGGAAACCCGGTTCAGGATCGTGATGGGTCGGAACCCACTCGACGGCACTTAACAACAACAACAATCGAGTCATAAGAATCTTATCCCCATCTCCTTCCACCAGACCTGCTGTTGTTCTTAAGTGCCATTGAGTCTGTTCTGACCCATAGCGACCCTGTATAGAGTTTTCCAGGAGTGGCTGGTGAGCTTGAACCACCGTCCTTGCAGTTCAAACTGACATTGAAGTCCAGCGCATTAACACATAGCACTACACCAGGACTGAAAACTATTCAGTGGGATTTCTACCTTCCCACACATACTCGGAAACTAAACTCCCTCTTGAAAATTTGTAAGCCAGTCACTTAATGCCCTTATAGCCCCTCCCCCCAATTTAAAGTAGCCAATGTCTAAGTTGCCTGTCCCTATCAGCCCTACATACAGAGGAGATAGGATTGACACTTGATGTAAAGACTCCATCCCTCTCAGTTTGTATTTTGAGCTACTACATCCATTAAGTATAGGTCAGTTTCATCAAATTGTAGCGATTTACATTGGTTCCTTTATCAATGCTTTTTTTAAAAATCTTCTAGTCGAATAGTGAACATAAGCCATCAAGGCTAGGCCAAATGGGTACTATCTGCAAGATTGGGTACTCTTGTCCATCTCCCCTCACTTCATATCAGCTGAATGCTTCACTCTCAGCTCTTGCCCTCCATGGCTATGTCCTTGTCCGTGGGCTCAGGAGTCCCTAGGTGTCACCATAATTCGGACCAACCAGCTCTTGCTCTTTTCTCTCATTTCCAGGTCAACAAGGGTCTATGGAACATGCTCGAACTCAGCCCATATCTTCATTGCTGCCTTTCCCCTTCCTCCACTCACCAATAGACCAGCTTGGTCTCCAGCAAGCTTACATGGCTGCTTCTGTAATCCCTTTGAGTTTCAGTCTTGGAGGGGGTGTTGTCCTGAAGGGACTTGACTGTTTGCCTTAATGGCTTTCTACCAAACAACTTGCTTATCCTTGTAGTAGCCAGTTGGACTGCCATTGTTGGTTTTGGTTTGGTTTTTATTTTTCCTGCAGGTGTTTCATTGAAGAAATATCTTCTTTTCCTCTAGCTGCTCCAGGCTGGTCTGCTTGTCCAAGGGTCAATCTTGATAGATTTTCCTGAAGCATACAGGATGATCATGGAGCTCATTATAAAATTTTTTTTTTTTAAATGGAAAACTGCATTGGTGAGAGAAAAGCCAGGAGAGTTGCACCAAGGAATTGTTTTTCAGAACTGCTCATTGACACTTGATGTAAAGTGTCATTCTTCGAGGGTAGCAAACCCTGTCCTAAAAGAATTTCCTTAGAAAAGCTTACCTCTTCCACCTTACAGTCTACTTCTTGTCTCTTGAGACTTCTTTTGTTTCTAAAAGTCAAACAACGTTTAAAAGAAACACATTTTAAGTACCTTGAGGATGTCAAAACTACTGTTTTGATGTGACATAAATTGAAGGCATGCAGAATTTTATGGGGATGGGTAGGGAGATGAAAAAACCACCTTCAGAAGTGTATAGACCCAGTGACACCAGTAATGGAGGTAGAAATGGGGATGTGGAGAGGGGAGCAGCTGGGGACTCTAGTTCATGGAAAGAGACAGAATTAGAGCGGGCAGCAAGGAGGCAGCCTTGCAGAATGTGCCCTTTGGTGGTGTAAATTATTATATATGCCTGAGTGTTTTTTTTTAAAAGAGCTAAAATGAATAGAGAGAAGTACTGTGAACTAGAGTTAGAAAACCAAAAGGGAAGAACACGGTCAGTATTTCTCAAGCTGGGGGAACTGA